GCCCCGCCCTCCCGCCGGGGGTCGGGAGGGTGGCCGGACGCGGTTCCGGGCTTGGGGCTTTTCCCACCGGGATGTGTTGCTCTTCGCCCAGATGGAGGTAGAGGGTGGGCTTGGGGTGACGCTGGGGAGTCGGAGTTTGGGTCGGTGAAGTCGAGAAAAGACGCGATCGTGTTACTCGTGCTCGGGGCCGGGGAGGACCGGGTTCGTTCCTCCGGAAGGTGTATCGGGGACGGTGATACCGCCGAGGGCGGTACGGAGTGGTGGGGGGCCGAGGGGGACCCTCGCCGGGTGCTGCGCTGTGCGCTCGGCTGCGAGCGGGCTGAGAAGGAAGTGGGAAAGATCCTCCGCGGGCTTTGACGGCGCGTTTCTCCGAAGGAAAGACAAACCTTCCTAGGCTTGGGTGTCTCGTACGAGATTTTTATTCTTTAACTTTACTTTTAGGGAATTCGGTAAAACGAGGCCATCTTAGGGATCTCGTTATCCAGGTTAGGGCATTGCTAGATCAAAAGCGAGCCTGTTTTCCTCCGGATTAAAAGATAAAACTAAATCGAGGAATTGTCATAACTCTTTCAACAGCGCAGTAAGCGATATGTGTGTTGTTTCTTGATGTGAAACCTCAGTGTTTTACATGCCGCATCGTCACCCCCCATACACTCAAAGTTTTCCTTCTAGGGTGTCCCGGTAGAGGTGTGTGTGTACTTTTTATTGTTAATTAGGACGGTCTCGAGGCTGTGAAATCCAGTATGACCCTGCGAGAAGAGTCCCGGTTAAGTTTCTCTTTCGGGTTTGCTTTTACAGTTGAGCCTGGTTAACTGGGAGGAATTTAAACTTCTTGTGGGAGTGAATGGAATCTTTTTTAAGTGTGTTCATTTGATAATAAGGCAGTTTAAAAATGTGTCCACTTGACATTGTTGATACAATTTTTTTTTTTTTTGTCTTTTTGAGACAGGGTTTCCATATGTAGTTCAAACTGGCCTTGAACTCACTTTTTAGCCCAGGCTGGCCTCTACCTCACAGCGATCCTTCTGCCTCAGCCTCCCAAGTGCTGAGATTATAGGCATGCGCCAGCATGCCCAGCTGAAATATTTCTTAAAAGTCTGGAGTTTCTACAACTTCATTCTCTAGTGAGGTTAACTCCCCCTCCCCCCATTTCGGAAAGTCAAGCCTTGGGAAACTGCATATTCCTTTAGAAATAGCTCTTCTTTTTTTTGAAAGTAGGAGGGAGAACTGACAGTTTTATCTTTTCTACGAATAGATATTTGAATGTACATTGTACTAGATTGTTTTTAAAGAGAAACATTGATCCAAAAACACATTCTTCCTTGGAGGTGTTTTCCCCTGTTCTGCCAAAGTTGGTATGTTTTTTGAGTGTAGCTGGCTGATTTTCAACATTTTTGTTTATCAAAACCTTTTGAAACCAGGCAGAGCCACTTGTTTCCTAATCAGCAGAAATAGTTTCTGTTTCAGTAATTTCTAGAGTCAGGCGTGGTGGCACATGCCTGTAATCGCAGCATTCTGGAGGCTGAAGCACTAGGATCTCTATGAGGTCAAGACCAGCCTAGGCTACAAAGTTCAAGGCCAGTCCAGGCTACATAGTGAAGTGAAGGCCAGCCTAAACTGCATAGTGAGACTTTGTCTCAAAAAAAATCACACACAAAGAAACTTTCTCTGCCAAAGATGCTTTAATTTGTAAGAAAAAATGTGTTTATGTGTGAAAGGAAAATTATTTATAACACTTTCAACGTGTAGTATCAAAAGAAAACAGTGTGGCTTTTCAAAGGAATTCATCTTCTGTTAGTCCTTCAAAAAATTAACATCTCAGCCTTCTAAGTGTAAATGTCTCATCACATGTTTACAAGGGGGTGATTGTTCCTCACTTCACTGCTCTGCTGTGGGAAACATGGTCTTCTCTGCAGTCAGACAATCTGTTAGGCAGAGTGGGTGGGAGTTCATTGCCTCCGCTTTAGTGGTGGGGTTTTGGGTTTGTGCTGTCTTCCATATAGAAGACATCATGACTGATCAGTAGAGGAGTGAATTTGTCATCAGTAGGAACGTTGAATTTGCACTCAGTCATCTGCACACCCTTATGAGTGTCAGTGTAAGCAGATTATCCTGTGAGGACATTGGGGCAGCCCTTATTTCAGTCCCATCTATATCTTCCAACTAATGTGCTGTGGTTGCATTTGTTCCACACACTTTGTCAGATATCAGAGGTACAGTCTCAAAGGGGACAGGTAAGAGCCCTGGTCTTTTGAAACCTAAGGTGTAGTGGTAGGCTGGGTGAGGGAAAGACAGGAAATAAATAGGTAAACACAGTGCTTTCAAGTAGTGGTGCTACGGTAGAAATAAGTGGGCAGGAGGCTTTTCCTGAGAGGTGAGCTTGAGGTGAAGCCTCCGTGGAGAACAGGACTCAGTTGTCTGAAGAGCTGGCTGAGTGATGGAGAAGCCACAGGCTGCAGGAGCTTGGTTTGCTGTCAGGATGGCTCCTGGGAAGAGGACTTAGTGGGGGAGAGGACAGGCGTCGGACCTGCTGGGGGAAGAGGGAAGGGCCAGGTGCTGGGCTTTGGGCCGTACGAAGGGTTTTGTTCTCAGTTCAAATAGGAGCCATTGGAGGGTTTTAAGCAGAGGCATGTGATCTTGTATTTTAGAAGGTATTTCACTGAATCAGTTACCCCAGTCATAGGACACATGAGGTTTTATGTAACACTAAAGGGAAATGCTGTGAATTAAGCTGATGTATCATGGAGTTTAGGAAGCATTCCAACTTCAGAGATGCCAAACTACACAGAATGTGTATCTTAGAAGGAGGAAAACGTGGCTTGCTGGTGAAGTACTCGATACCCCAGGCTGAAGTGTTCACCATGAGGAGTCTTCATCCTCTGCGTTTTATGATAAGAGTATTTCGCTACCAGTGTTTCACTGCCTCGTTCTAGAGTCACACCATGCTCCTTTTCTGTTATGCTCCAGACGTATGCTTAGGGCGGTGCCGAGAGGTGGCTCTTACTGTCCTTATCTGTCTCTCTTGGCAGTTCTGATACCCGCTATGCAATTACCCTGAACAACAGAGACGCCCTCACTGGAGACGAAGAGACCTTGGCGTCATATGGGATTGTTTCTGGGGACTTGATATGTTTGGTTCTCGAAGATGCCATGCCGGCACCTAACTTGCCTCCATCCACAGATTCAGACCATTTCTCCATCCCGAATAATGACCAGCCTTCTCTGGCTACCACCGCCAGCCAGGCCAGCATCCCAGATGAGCCACAGAGCGGTTCGTGCCGAGGACAGGCAGCCCAGTCTGGTGTCTGGCAGGACGACGGCGTGGTGGGTATCAAAAACGATGACGCTTTCAAAAGTTGTCTTTCTGTGGTCCTCTGGTAACTATAGATTTTTAAAGGAAATTATCATGTTACTGGAAGACAAGGTAGTTGTTAAATTTAAGAACAGCTGTGGTATTTGTTGCGGGGACAGACAAGATTATGACAGTTCTGAGATGCTGATCTGTTTCCTGACCAAAGTCACAGTTAAGTAACTGAGTGTAGTAGGTGGTGGTTCATTGGCTCTACTTTCACAGTTTATATGCTATTCTTTATGGATGTTATATTTCAATTTTTAAAACTTTTTAAAGAGACTTTACACATGAATTTACATGTGTTCCTTGATTTAGTCTTCATTTGGAAAATGAGCCGCAGAAACGCTTTTATTACTATTGGAAGAATGTGAATATGGATGTTTGCATTCAGTAATATCAAGGGAGTACTATTGATTTTGTTCTGTGTGGCAATACCATTGTGATTGGATTGAAAGTGCTTTCATTTGTACAGCAAAATACTTGAAGATAGGGTTAGAGCTGTATATTGTCTGTAATTTCCTTTTCCTGTTTCTGCAGAATAATTTTTGACACAGAAAATGTGCTAAAATATTAACTGTTACTGAAATTTATTTACTTCTTAAAAATAATATTCATTATCCTTTCTGGAATATATGAAGACTTACCATCATAATAAAAATTTAGTATGTGGGTCAATTTTTTTTTGAAAAGCAAAGATGTAGAGTAGTTGATAAGGTTGAATTCCGTGTGCTCAGGGTCCTTGTGCTCGGTAGGCTGCAGGGGATGTTGTTAGAGAGCCTTCTTTCAGCCTGCACTGATGGAGGGCCGGCACTGGGAGGACCAGTGTCTGCTGATGGATTTTGTTCAGGTGGTCACTCTGCCAGCTCAGTTCTCCCTTGGTTCTGTGGTTTCCTCTAAGCTTAGGATTCCCAGCTTTTTTGCTGTGGTCTGCACCCCTCATTGAGGCCACACACATAGCTCAATTGTTTGCACACACCTTGCGGCGCATTTGCACCTGGGATTGTCAGTTGGCACCACAGACTGCAGAGTGAACTTGGAAGTAATGTACACTCGTGTGCTGACCTCCAGCCTTCAGGGTCGCCGCTGTTTCCTGTGCTTTTGAATCCTCACCGCCAGCTCTGTTCACGGTCCCTTTTCCACTCCAGGTCTCTCATATCTGTTGGGTCCACCATCCAGGTTTGTCTTCTTTATGTGGTCTATTGCTTCTCAGTAACTCTGTGTCATGGGTAACACTCATGGCTTTGGAGCTGAAAAGACCAAATATCCAGTCCAGCCCTGCCATTTCACCAAAGTGAATGTCGTGTGTGGTCTTGTGAATTTCAGGGTTTTTTGAGGAGCCGCCTCGCCCAGCCTTTCTGGGGCCGGTTTCCGTGCGTCCTCCATGAGCTGCTGTCTGCAATCCAGAGCAGACTCTGCGTCTCTTCCTCCTCCCTCATGCTCCTGTGTGCGATGCCCAGCCTGGTACCACGAGGCCTTGCTCTTGCCCTTATTCTGTAGCTGACCTGCTGTTTCTCCCTCTCCTGTCTGTATTTTTTTCCGTCCTCCAAGGCCTTTGTCAATCAGTAATGTTCTTTTTGTTCTCCATGTTATCTTTTCTGCATGGCCTGCTGCGTATTGGGCAGTCATCCTACTCCTGAGCCCTGGCTCCAGCCACCCTGGGTCCCCCCACCCTGGTGGACCCTCTCGTTGCCCTGTAGATACCTTGTTATTTTTATCCTGCCTTGCAGTTTGTTGTGTGAAGTGAACAGTTTTTTAATAATGCAAGCATGATTCTTGTTTATTGTTTTTTGGGTGCATATACATTTACTGCTTCAATGTAATTCTTTTGTGGGCCTTAAATATTAAAGCTATCTCTCATGGCACTAAATATGACAGACATTAAAAAATGCTTAATAGGTTGTTAAGTTTTGAAAACCACTTGTATCCAGATAAAAGGATTTTTACTTATTTTAGAAATTATTGTGTCTCTTGTGTGTTTCTGCTTTATAGAGGTAATCTGGGGAATGAATAAGGACAATTGGCTACATATTTCAATTACTTTCTGAGTTGTTTGCTTATAGACTCACTCAGAGGCAGTGTTAGCAGACGGGCCCATTCCCTTTACTTCTGCATACTTTCAAAGTTGTCCAATAAATCAGGTGGAGCTTTTCATAGTACGTGTGAGTTACTTTACTGGCTTTCTTTGGAAAATTTTGGGAAATTAGTGTTGCTTCTGGTAATTTCAGTTCTAGCAGCGTATTGTTTTGTATTCTAAGGTTTGTATAGGGTGACTATGAAACCTTAGTGTGGAACCTGAGCGTGAACTCCTTGTAAATAATGCTTGGAGTCCTTAAAGTGGTATGGTCTGTTAATTAAGTGGAGAAGGGAGCATTACAGAAGGAAAACAAAATAGGTGACTCTCGAAGCCAGAGGAGGTGAATACTGCTCTTTAATTAAATGGGGATGAGTTTTCTCGCTTCACTCACCAGTGCTGTCCGTCTCAGTGAGAGGTGCGGTGACCTGTATCAGGCCACACAGTGCTGTGCTCGCTGACTGTTGTCACGGTCTCCTGTCAGTGACGGTGACAGGAGGGCCTTGCTGGAGAGGTGGGCTCAGCGTCTTTGTTTCCAGCGAGGGAAGGATGTGCTAAGTCCTATCGGAGTGGCCCGGGGGTGCTGGTGGCTGTGTGGAGTTGGGTGTTGGGCTTGATAAGCCTCTAGGACTTCTGATGGCGTTGGGGGGCGGTTGCCAGCTTCCGGTAACTTGTGTGCTTTTTCAGCAAGTGGTAAGCGACTGGAAGTTAGGCATAAGGGTGAAGAAGCAAAGGGCTCATTCATGATTGAGCTTGGTGTTAAGTCATTTTTTAACATAGTAGTTTTTCTTTGTTTTTTTTTTTTTTTTCTGGTACCGGGAATCGAACTCATGACCTTGCGCTTGCCAGGCAGGTGCTGTACTGCTGAGCTAAATCCCTAACGTAGTAGTTTATATGTCAAAAAATAAAACCAAACAAACCTGGAAATGGTTTTGCACTGTGCTGCTCCTGCTGCTGGCCTGTGGGTTTTGCCGAGCGAGTCTGGACCTTCCCATAGCTGTCCGGCTTTGGTCCCACAGGCTCAAGGAGAAGGGCAGCCGCTCTGGGTCCTGGCCTTGCTGCAGCCTGTCACTCTGTTTCGATTTCCTCTGCCCCCTCTTCAGTAGCAGAACAGACTTTAACAGAAGAAACATGTGCTTTGCATCAGGAGTTGAGCACAAGCCTAGGAAACGAACTTTCTGAACAAAATTGAAATTAATACGGTAACTCAGTTTTATTGAGGCGTGTTTCGCATGTAAAAGCCCTGAACTGGGCATGTGTCAGGGGACAGGGGTTGCTTTCAAGTTTTTATTAGCTGGCTACCTTGGTTGTGTTACTTAATCTTTCTGAGTTACAGTTATAGCATCTGTACAAAGGTCATATTATCTGCCTCGTGTAATTTACCGGGTCACTGAGAGGCACAAGTGAGAAAACGCTTAGAGCACAGCAGCACTGTGGGATTGGGACTGTTGGGCAGGCGCTTCTGAGACGTGCTGTGTGCCACGTCCTGTGTGGGGTACGAAGTGACCACTTGTCGTCTGGTCCTGTGCAAGCTTACGGCTGCTTGGGATGCAGATGGTGGTCAGGAAGTTGCAGGAAGTGTGGGGAGGGGCAGTTACCAGCCCCCCACAGCAGAGTGTGGTCGGGATTATCTCTGCTCAGTGGGAGGGCAGGGCCCGGGAGGGCCAGCAGGAAGTGAGCCCGATAGAGAGGCAGTCAGGCAGCGAAAGGCCTCCCAGGCAGAGTGCAGGAGCTTGGACTGCTGTTTTTTAGGCCTGTGTTTCTGGTCCGGTCCTCCTTGGAAGACTTGTTTCATGAGCGCCTCAGTGTTAGAAGGATAATGTGTCTTGGTTCGGTGTTCCGTGCATGGTGCTCTCACGTTTAGACTTCCCAGGGCCTTTACAGTGCAAGTAACGTATTTGGTGCGTGTGGAGAGTGAGGTTAGGTGGCTGCAGCATGCGGCGTTTTCCACACTGAGCTGACTGTGCACTGACCTTTTTTAGGAACATGAGGGGACACAGCAGAGCCCACAGTTGGGGGAGTGCTGCTGCCTGAATAGAGCAGTGCTGGTGCTTGAGCTGGGGTGTAGGGCGTAATGAAGCTAAAACTGCTGAGAGATCGGCAGTGTGTGAGGCGCCAGGCGGCGGAGGCTGTTGCCAGAAACCAGGAGAGAGAAGGAGAGTCTGGATCGTTGCTGGGACGGGAAGGGGCAGCTGTTGCCAGGTGTGAGTTTCCGTGGAGCTTGGAGCAGGGTTCAGGAGGGAGAGCAGACCCAGGAGTGGCTTCCAGGCTTCGAGCGTATCGGCTGAAACGCGTGGAGATCCCAGGGGGCTTGTGGGCTCCCTCATTTATGAGGGCTCCCTGTGAGGGGCTCCTGACCTGAACCCACTGGTTCGCCGTGGCTTTGAGTGCTAATCGCAGTTCACTTTGGGATATGAGAGGTTCTGTGTGTAAGTATTTTCAATGAATTCACTATTTTTCTTGTTACCCCTTTCAGGCAGGGCCCAGTCAGAGCATGGCAGCTGAGTCGGAGGAGGATGCTGTGGGCATGGAAGAGGGTCCCAGCCTCCATCCCTCAGAACCCATGCTCTGCAGCGAGGCGGCGGAAGGGCAGGTGCCACACTCGCTGGCGACCCTGTATCAGTCAGCCGGCTGCTGCGATGCCAGCGACGCCCTGGTGGTGCTGATCCACCTCCTCATGGTGGAGTCAGGGTACATCCCTCAGGTAAGGCCAGAGAGCAGCCGCGGCCCTCGGGAGGTGTGTGGCGGGGGTATCGAGCACAAAGGGCCGGGCAGTGAGGGACTCTTGTGGGCATGCAGTAAGTGCACCACTCCCTCTCTTCCCCGTTTTCTTTGTCGGTATTTAGTAGTACAGAGGGGTTGGTAACAATAGTTCTAAAAAGACAAAGGGTTCTTGGTGGTAATCCGTGGATAAAATGAGGTCAGCGAGCGTGGGTGGAGTGTGCCTGGACAGCTCACTAGGTTATTTTCTAGGAATTGCTGTGACTGAGTTGGGAAGGGGGCACTGCTGTCCCTGCGGTTGCTCACCTTCTTCATCCCTTCAGTCCGTATCTGTCAATAAGCAGCTTCCAGTGCTGGCCAGCGCATTGTCCCTGGCCCAGGCGGCCCTCCTCAGTGGAGGGCTAGGGGGCATAGAGACCACTCGGGTATACTGGGGACGTTCTAGGAGAGCCATCTGCATACCCGGGGCGGGGCTTCGCAGAGACTCGGGAGCAGAGCTTGTCCACGCAGACGCGCTAAGGGACACATGGCACCTACAGAATGCAGGTTGTGCTCAGTAGGTCTGAGCGTCTCCCGTGCAGTGCCCGTGCTGCTGGGCATGCAGGGTCACAGAGTGTAGAGTAATTCACATGCCTACAAGCCCACGTCTGCCACGTACTGAGCCGCAGATGAGGAGGTAAACCACTGGGAACCCTCCTCACCCTCAAGGAGTCCATAGTGGGTGACAGGCAAATAAAAACTACGGTATGTAAATAACGAGTACTGGCTGACCTATGACGTCAGAGTGCGTCGCATGGAAATGTGAACAGAAGTTTGGGGGGAGGAGGAACAACGGGCTTGGAAAGGCTTTCCAGAAGAAGGGCTGTGAGCTGGGTTCTTGAGTAATGATGCCGGCTTTGCGAGGTGGACAGGTGAGCCTGGAGAGAGAAATGGGGCCTTATTTCTCTGATGCAGTTTTACCTGGTGGAATAAAAATTTGCAATGTAATTATCTGCCATTAATAACAGTCTCAGCGGTGTAACCCATTTTAAGTGACAGAATGTTAGTGTCTGAACGAGTTTGGATTTTAAATTTTTTGGAATTACTTCTTTCCTTGCTTTCGTTTTCCCTTTCATTTCACTCTGCAGGGGACGGAAGCCAAAGCTGCGTCCATGCCGGAGAAGTGGCGGGCCAGTGGCGTGTACCGGCTGCAGTACACACACCCGCTGTGCGAGGGCAGCTCTGCTGCGCTCACCTGTGTGCCGCTGGGCAGCCTGACCGTCGTCAATGGTAACCGGAGGCACCAGGGGCTCTGTGCAGGAGTTGTGCACGTGGGTTAGGAGCACGTATGCACACACACACACACACACACACACGTTTCCTTCCTAGTGTCTTGTGGCCATGTCAGTGACTGGTTATCGTGCTCCAGCTGTGAGCCTTTCTCAGCTTTATTTCGTGTCTAGACCACTGACGCTGAGTTGGGAGGTGATAGCATACGAGACCCATGCTGAACCTGGCAGCCTTCCCTCTTCGGGAGGGCGCTGTGCTGATCAGAGCGAAATGAGTTCATTACGTTGCAGCTCTGTGAAGGCTGTGTTCTTTTTGATGCCTCTCTGTAGATGGCCTTTTGTTTTTAGTTTTTAAACAGAAGTCTTGTACAGAGACTATGAGATGGAGCTGTGTCCCCGTGTACCCAGTCAGGCGTCTCTGACCAGCGCTGCTGTGCCCTCCCCCTCGAGAAGTCGTGCTGCAGAGAGGGTTGATTTTCCCTCTGCCCTCGGTGTGGAGATCTCACTGGGGCAGCAGTGCTCCTCACCCGTGTCTGTCACGGTAGCTCAGGTTCTGCTCTGCCTGCCTGGCCGGCAGCGCTTGCTGGAATGGCCTTGCCTTGCTCATGCTGGAGCTGCACTTGGGGACCTACTCTTCCTTGTTCCTGGCGTTCGTTTGGGGGGTTTATCCTTTTGGCTTGGTAAGATAATGTAAGATTGAACAACTGCATTTGTGTGTGTGTGTGTGTGTGTGTGTTTGAAAAAAATGCTTTTTTCTGCTAAGATTTACTTGGTGAGCTACTGAGATGGAGGGTGGGTCATGTTTTAATCACTGTGCTGCCTCCCATCCTGACCTGCTGGCGCCAGCGGTGAATGCACGATGCTGTGTGCCTCAGTTTCTCAGAAGAGCCTTTCAGGCCCTCTGTCTACTCAGTACCTGATGATCTGTTTTTTCCCGCTTTGTTCCTTCACCGTTCTTGGCATACCAGTGAATTGCAGGCCTACTCGGCGGCCCAGCAGGCCCTCCCACGGTGACTGCCTTGGGAGGAACGCCGTGTCCCTGGTCTCCCTCCCGGGTACCCTGCTGCGTGGCGCACACACGTGGTGGCACATCACTGCCTCTTTCACGGGGCCCATAAAGTGCGCCTTTGTGCCAGGGCCCCCGCTGGGCTGCGGTGGGTCACAGGCGCGGCTCTTTGGTCCAGAGAACAGTGCTGCTGGGTAGACTGGCAGAATCCCTTTCATGAACAGCGACGGGCCCGCTGCCAAGGGCACATGAGACGTGCATGGTGTTTTTACTGACTTCCGTGAAACGGGTTTTGTTGTGTTTGGTTGCCCCCCGTCACCCTTGCTGCATATCTCTCAATAGCTAATCAGCTGCTGCAGGTGGTACTCAGCAGGCTGCTCACAAAGATGCCCTCTATAGTTTCTAAAGGTGCTGTGGAGAGTGACTTCACTTGGTGGCAGGTGTACACTTTTGACCCTGTCTGAGGGAAGGAAGTGGGCACGGGGCAGCTTGCTTTGCCTGGTGTGTCCGCAGTGCACTGTGGGCAGGGAGTGCAAGCTGCTCCTGAAGAAGGAGGCAGTTAGTGAGCTGGCACAGCCTTTACGTCATCTTTTTTTCTTATTTCCAGCTACGCTGAAGATCAACAGTGAGATTAAAAGTGTGAAAAGATTGCAGCTGCTGCCAGCCTCCTTTATCTGCACAGAGAGACCAGGTGACGTCATCATTTCACTTGAGGAGCTGTGAGATGCTCACTTTTGAGAACACTGGAAAGATAGTGCACAGAAGACAGAACACTCCCGGTGTGACTAAAGCAAATTCAAGACAGTCTTGTCTCTTGAGTTGCTGGAGGTTTGGGTTGCAATTGGATGAGTTAGTTTGGTTCCTATTTTTCTCAGGGTGGTGGAGCGCTGAATTCCGTTTATACTGCTATTATGAACTAACACGTCTGTGTAATTCTTGCCGGCCTGGTGCTGCTTCATGGTCTCTGTTCATTCTGGAGCTCTTTTGAGCAGTGTGCCTAAGCAGTGTTGAGAGACTCCCTTGTTGTGTGCGTCTGTGCAGCTTCCTTGCTGTTACTGGGGGAAGCACTGTACTCATACTGTTTTCTTAAGTATTGTCTTGGTTACTTTTCTCCCGTTGCTGAGACAAAATACCCAACGCCCAAAATGAAGGAAGGAAAGGTTTATTTAGCTTACAGTTTGTGGAGGTTTCAGTCCATACTTGGCTGGCCCCGAGGCAGAAGGTAGCAAACCAACAAGAGCAAAGGGGGGAACGGCAGCCGAACAGCAAACAGCCAGAGCAAACCGGAGGAATGGCGGCAAGCAGCCTCTTTTCCTGCCTTACTTTGTAAACAGGCTACCCCCACCTAAGGGGCATGTAGCTCTCACATAATCTCCATGCCCTCCTCTTCCACAGGCTCAGGATGTATACAAAGTAAGCACCCTGGCTTCCTGCTGAGTCACTTAGCCAAACCTCTAGACTCCCCAAGTTGACACAGTGTTTAAACCATAACAAATATAAATGTATTTGGGTTATAAATTTGATTGTTACAAGTTTGCATTCTAAGCATGGTTTTGCTTATACTCTATATAGTGTCTTAGTCAGTGTAAAAGAGACAGATTTTCCTCTTTATTGGCTTTCAGGTATACCCAAACTGAGAGGCAGACAAGTGGTTAAAGGAGAAGAGATGGGATGGAGAGAATTCACACTCTCCAAGCTTCTGTTTTCTGTGGGGTGTGTGCCCTTACCTGCATTGCCCATTCACTCTCATCAAAAGATGAGGGAGTTGAGCCCCATGGGTGTCGGGGACTGGGGATGGTGTGTGTGGCAGTGTCTTCTGGGGAGAGCTGGCTAGATCCTTGGGCTGTCTGAACCCCTAGAGACTTATTCTTGGTAGCTTCCAGGGGAGATCAGGCCTGAGATACTGATCTAGACTAAAACTGATGGGAAAAGGAGACAGAAGAATATTTATAATGGTAGAACCAGAGCTTGGGCATTAACTCAATTGAACACGTAATGTCAGACTAGACCAGTATTAACTTTTTTACGCTGTTGCTCTCGTAAGTAACAGTAAATTCGTAGGTTTTTGCAGATTTTTCCTCAGTCCCCTCCTGACACTTTAATACTACTTATGTCCTGTATACTTAACTGGTGTAGTAGCTGGGGTATCTTTTGCTCTCCAAGAAGCAGCTTTTGCGCCTTTGGGGTTGCTCTTTCTTGCCCCTGTGGAAAAGCCTGGGTCAAAACAGGTGTGCCTTTTCCATTAAGAGCAGAATAGCTTGAAATTCCTTGGCTGGAACGCTTTCTGTTCGTCCCCATGGAGAGTGCCTTGCTATGGGCGAACCATCCCGACAGCCTTTCAGTTTTTATGCCCATTGTATAGACCAGGAAACAGTTCCCGAGAAAGGCAAATTACTTCGGGGCCTCAAACCTAATAAATGGAAGAATTTAGGGTTGAACAGATATTTTTGATTCCCAGCCTTTTAAAAACAACTTTTATAGGGATCTGCTCAAATCCCTGTTATTTCCTTGTTTCTCTTAAGGAAATGAAAGGAGAGGCAGAAGTTTTATTAAATTTATGGATTATTTTTAATAAAGTACTTTTATGCTAACTAGGAATATGCTATTCATTTGGCAAGTCGTTTCAATAAATTTTATTGTGGCTTTTGGTTTAGACTAGAACCTATCCCTGAGTACTGTTGCTTAGACTTCTAAGATCCTAAATATTAATACGGTAGGTTGCTGAAGGAAATGATGTAAAGAAAGTCAGTTTTTATACTTGAAGAAAGGTCTTGAGCCAAATCGGTTTTTGAAATGTCTCAACATCAGATTTCAAACTTAGGATTGTAGTTTCACACAGCGAAGGGTAGAGTTTACTGGCATGTCTCTTTCCCTGTTCTCGTGAATCATGTGACGGCGCATTTAGGAATAGTGAAATGCGCAGTGCGGGAAGGGCAGGGCGTGGGCACGCGCTGTGGGGACCCTGGGTGCTCTGCATGAGGTTTACGCCGTAACAGCTCCTTGGGGCTTTTGGGGTGTCCCTGTTAAACAGGTGTGCAGACAGGTTGCGGGTGAGTGGGGCAGGTTGCTGCAGGGTTGGGCGTTTGGTAAGCTGGACTTGGGAGCCCCGGTGCAGTGTGCAGCCCCGGTCTTTGTGGAGAGCCTCTGCTGCATGGTGCGGACTCGGCAGGGCCGCGGTGGAGCCCGGTGGTCGGGAGTTGCACACTGCACGGGGGGCGGCATCCTGGGCCCTGTGTGCACTGAGCAGGGGCGGTGTGGCTGGAAAAGAGCACTTTGAAGCCAGACGCACCAGCTTTGTACCTTGTGCTGCCGCTTGCTGTGGGGCCAGGGCCCAGCGCTCTGTACTTCGCCCTGTTTCACATGGGACAGTAGCATCTGTTGCTTACTTAGGAAGGCTGCTGGGATGGTCCGCGGGTGGCGAGTGCCAGGACTGAGAGAGCTGGCCCTGCCGTGTGCAGGGCCCGTCGATGGCGTGCGAGGTCATCCATGTGCTGGGAGCAGGGTCTCACACGGCAGGGTTTGCACACTTAGCCCATGAGCCCTGTGGGTTGGGAACAGTCCTGTGGCTTTCCTTCCAGGACTCCTACCCGCCTCTCCTCTCGGGACGTGGGGTACCGTGTGTCAGGGTGGGGGTTTCTTGGTCACATGTATGTACCACTTTGGTTTGGCTTGACAGAGTAAAAGAAGACAGATTTTCTGCTTGATTTTGTGTTTTGATATTTCATTTTTTAAAAATTCAGGGGAAAATGCAGCCGAGGTATACAAAGGTCTTCAGAAGCTCTCCCGGCTCTTCAAAGACCAGCTGGTGTACCCGCTCCTGGCTTTCACCCGGCAAGGTGAGGGGGATGTGGTCGCAGGTGAACACCCCGGAGTCTCACCCTGGGAAGCACGTGACCCTGACGCTGCGCTCCCCTCCCTGACCGGGCTCTGCTCTTTTAAGATGAAGTGTCCGCGTGACTTCCCCAAATGTTGCCCACTTCGTCTCTGATGCATTTCCACAGCATTCTGTGTGCATCTGTATTGTAGTGCTTCTGCTGTCGTGAATGTGACTTCCTTCCATGTGAGGTTGTGGGTTGAAGGGAGGGAATGTGTCCTGCTCACTTCTAATTGTCTAGCGTAGGTCTAGTCCGAAGAGATGCCCAACCCAATTTGCAGGGTTTACATATCTTTAAGCCTATGTTTACTAGGACCTCTGTGTCAGACATCTTATTGGATGTTTCATATCCCTAATGACTTTTTAATGCTAATTACTTTGAAGTAGATTTGTATTATATGCATTTTATAGATGATGGAGTAATTCAGAGGCTTACGATTCCCTCAAGGTGCTTGTATTGGCTCTGTCTGATTCGTGTTTCATTACAAATCTCTTAGAACCCTAGTGACTTGGTGCTCGCTCCTGTGCATGTGGCGTGTGGCTGGCTTTGTTCACAGTGCTCTTGCCTGGGGCGCATGCTCACTGTGGCAGAGGGAAGAGGCCTGGTGGCCCAGCCATGTGTTGGTTTGCAGAGGCTTGGCTCCAAAGTGGAGCGTCCTTCCCCTCCCACCTCACCAGACAGAAAGGTCCGTGTGGCTGGCCCTGACACATGGGACAAGGCAGTAGAGGTGCCGGGTGGGCAGGCTCCGGGAACTACAGCACAGCCTCCTGCAGAGCCGCAGAGATAAGAGTCACCCTTCACTGTTACCTGAGTAAATGCTCTTGGTTTCAAGGTGCCCGATGCCAAGGCTGGGATTACCCTCGTTGTCCACTTCCGTGCGTGATGAGTCAGAGTAACGTGAATTTAAAACCCTTGCACGTATCTGTTGGACTTGTTTGTCTTCACTAGCGGGGAGCAGTGTCACTGATACTCCCAGGGGACTGATACAGGTTGAGTGTCCTCATCAGAAAATCTGCAATCCACAGTTCTCCAGAATTGGAACCTTTTTCATTACCAACAAGACACTTAGAAAGGTCCAGATTTTGGACTTTTGGATTAGGGATGTCTAGCCAATAAAATCTATGGAAATATTCCAAAACTGGGAAAACTCTAAAGTCTGAAATACTCTGATCCCAAGCATTTTGGGTAAGAGTCTGTTAAACAAAAGTAATTTTCATTGACAGTGAGATTCTCTTCATTTCCTGCTTTGGCTTTGCCTCCCAATCTCTGCCTTCCTGTCCCTCGGCCTCTTGCGTGTGGAGTAATAGTGATGCTGCCCCTCGAACACTCGCGCCAGGCACTGTCCTGGCTGCTCTGTGCTATGCAGTAGCGTGCTTAGCTCTCACACTGAGGTAGGTGGTGTGTCGCTGACACACTTGCAGATGAGGACGCGGGGTAGGTGCAGTTTAAAAGTGTGGCCTGAAGCGCACGGCTGTGAGTGGCAGGACTTGGAGCCAGTCGTGAGGGCGGGGGCCCTGCACTTCCTGAGGCAGAGTCGTCACTTTGATGCACGGAGGGCTGCTGTGTGAGCGTCTAGAAGCTGTCAGTCACTCAGTGTGCTAAGTCATGTCCTACACGAGTAAGGGGGTGGGAGCGGCACTGGAGTTAGTAGCACCTGCAGAGCCTGGAGTTAGACTTCAGCTGGAGATGATGTTTGCATGGATAGTGGGGACCGTCGTCTGGCTTGTCACCTCGGCAGGCACAGCAGCAGCTCTGGCTGGCAGGGCTGCATGCCCTTGCTCAGCAGCCACGGTAGCCTCTCTCTCCCTCCACAGCCCTGAACCTCCCCGACGTGTTTGGCCTGGCTGTGCTCCCCTTGGAGCTGAAGCTGCGGATCTTCCGGCTCCTGGACGTGCGCTCCGTCCTGTCTCTGTCTGCAGTCTCTCGCGACCTCCGTATTGCATCGAATGACCCGCTGCTGTGGAGGTGTCTGTATCTGCGGGACTTTCGAGGTGATTCCACACGTTAAGGAGAAGGGGCTCCTCCTACTGGAGTCTCAGCCTCTGCAGAGTTGCAGGTGCTAAGGGACAGCTTTAGAAGAGAGAGTCTAGGCTTCCTGCCCCTGTGCTTGTGTGCCCAGCGCTCTCATTTATGTCCTCTCTGCAGCTAAGCACATTATTTCAGCGTGGCAAAATGGGAGGGTGAGGGTTTTCTGCAGCGAAGGCCATTGCAGCTCCTGACGGGGGATGAACTGTATTCTGACCCCTCGGGGAGCCTGGCGTGTGAGTGCTCCTGGCCCGCCCAGGACAGCTTTATGCCCGACTGTGGAACCTAGTGCTCACTGCAACATGACCACAGTGAATCCAGGTGCTGGGACTCCTGGGTCAAGGCCAAACACCTGACCTGGGTGCTGCGTCCCCGCCTCCATTTTTCTGTTTACCAGGGCTTTTCTCTGTTGCTCTGCCCTAGGCTGGGTCCTGAAGTTCAGGAGTTGTTTTATAAAGCAGTAGGACACCCAAAAAAGCCAGTATTTGTTTGATAAACAGTATCCGTTTTTAAATAGGAATAAACTTCTGTTCAGTCCAGTACATGTAGGTGTGTACTGCGTTGCAGCTAAAGTGACTTAGGCTGTGGCTTCTGTCAGCAAGTGTGAGTGATAACGTGCGTGATGAAGCGCCCACCTGCACACTGCAGACGTCTGGCGGGCAGCTTCGCTCCTGACCTGCTTTTTTAAAAAGTAGAATGTCGTGGTTGTCATTGGGGGTGTTAAGTTTTTTTTTAAACTTAAAAATGTAAGAAGTGAGAATGACTTAGTTTCCTTTTCCTCCTTGATTCCCAAGGCATTGTTCTGCTTTATCCAAAGTTTAAAGTTCTGTTTTGTCACAACTGGCAGCAAGTGTCATTTAGAAATGAAAAACAGTTTTTAGTCCGAAGGAAAATGACCGATGTGTGTGGAACAGCAGAGAAAGAGCAGGCTGTGTGGAAATACTCACAGAAGGACCGGGTGCTCGCGTTCCTGCGCCCAGGGTCAGGCCTTGGGTTGCCTCGTCTCTTGCTCTCCGCCTGTGGCCCCGACTTGTAGTGAGCTGTGTGTCCCTGCGGGTGCGGTGTACAGGGTGGAGCACGGGTGCGTCTCGGTTCCCTGTTGTGCTAGCTTGTGGCGGAGACGTCGCCGTCTCCTATCCGAACTGTTCCTTAGATGAAAGTGGATTGGGGCCCTCGTTCCTCATTTCACATACTTCAAATAAGGACACAAAAGAATCCCTGCTCACCGTTACTTCCTGGTGGTTAAATCACTGTGAGTGAGGTGGGAGGAACCATCTCACCTAGACTCAGAAGGAAGCCTGGTGAACCTGGCCTGCAGGACTGGTAGCGGACGTGGGCCCTGACACACTCTTGTGGTTGGGTGTGGCAGGAGCTGTGGGTGGGAGCAGGTCTGAGGAGAGTGTGAGTTGTGGGGCCCTGAGTGCAGGGACCCCCAGTGTGCAACAGCAAGCCTGGAAAGGGGTGTTCACTCTGAGCCCCCAGGAGAGGGTCGAGCGAGGCTTGGGGCGCATGCAGTGTATGCTCGCGAGGGCCCCTGGTTCCTTGTGCCATGCAGGTCAGTCTCCGTCTGTGGAGGACAGAACGAGCCCGCCGTTCCGTGCTAGCTGGAGGAAATGTGTTTCATTCTGTATTTTTTGTTTCCTTTGTAGATGGTTCTGTCAGAGTTCGAGACACGGATTGGAAAGAAGTAGGTATTTTTAAATATGAAGGCTAATAATATCTATGACACAGAAATCAGCAGTGAATTAATAGTGGGACATACTTCATTTTTATTATGGTATAGTGACATTTGTTTGCATTAAATGTCAGTAATGAAAATAGTTTTCCTCTTTTGCTTTAGACTTAACCTTCGTTTTCCTATAATTACATAGGAAAGATGTCTTAATATGATTGCTTTTCATCTTAATATAAAATATTCTTACATTTTGGCAAAAACATTTGAATTGTCTTTGTAGTGGAGTAGTCTTCGGCTGTTCAGGTAAAATGGTACATTTGAAAAGGATTGTTTTATTTGCAGGTAAGTGCGGTGAGAGATAGCAGCAGGACTGAGGGAACTCCTTGGGATCTAATAGGGAAAATTAATTAAAATCCTTACTGTGTACCAGCTACACAGTACTGTTCCTTAGACTGTATCCCATCTTCTAAAGTAGGCCCCTGTTTTTTGTTTTAAATTGGGATCACCTGGGGACCGAACTTAGGTGGAAATGAATTTATTTATTTTATCTAATTTTTATTTTTTGGTACCAGGGTTCCAACTCAGACCCTTGTGCTTGCCAGGCAGGCACTTGCACCACCGAGTTATCCCCCTGCCCAGAAATGCACTTAAATGTTGTCTATCCCCTTTCCCACGCTCAAGTGTTGTATTTTCCATTCTCAAAAAGGCCAGTGTGAGATTGCAGGCCAGCGCAGGTGTGCTGCCCGAGTCCTGAGTCCGTACTACCGAGTGAACCCTGCTTTGGATTCGTTGGTGCAGCACAGTTGCAGGGGGGTGGTCCCAGCCTGTTGCACACCTGTAATCTCAGCCCTCTGGAAGGCTGAGGCAGGACAATTGCAAGTTCAAGTCCTACCTGGGAAACTTAGCAAGACGTTGAGGATGTAGCTCAGTAGTAGAGGGCTCCTGGGTTCAATTCCTAGTGCCACCAAAAGGAGAGAACATCGCCCCGGCTCTCCTTTCTGTGCACTGTTCTGTCTGCTGGACAGTGGGAGAGGTGGGTAGGTCTGTGTGACTGGAGGGCACCAAGTCACCCCATGTCCTGTGCTTTTTCCCTACAGCTATACAAGAAGAGGCACAGGCAGAGGAAGGAGGCTCGGAGGGGGCGGCACGCGGTGTTCCTGCCCACATCCCCCCACCCCAGCCCGTTCTACCCCAACCCCTTTCCCCCAAGCCCCTTCCCCCCCAGCCCGCTCCTCCCTCCAGGCATCATTGGTGGTGAATACGACCATCGGCCAACGTTGCCCTATGTTGGGGACCCAATCAGTTCCCTCATCCCGGGGCCTGGGGAGACTCCCAGCCAGTTCCCTCCGCTCAGACCTCGTTTTGACCCAATTGGCCCCTTCCCAGGACCCAGCCCCATGCTGCCAGGGCGAGGTGGCCCGGGTGACAGGTTCCCCTTGAGACCTGGCCGGGGCCGGTCCTCTGACAACCGGATGTCATTCATGTGATGGGTGCAGCCTCACTCTGGAGGCGACTGGGCAGCACGCTTGGGGCCCAGCCCCAGGGCTCTCCTGGTGTGGTAGGGAGAGCCGTATCCCCAGCGCCTTCGAGGTGATGCAGCTCGTGGGAGGAGGTGGCCCAAGGTCACCCTGTGACAGGTTGGCCTTGGGAATGTGCCTGCTGCTTTCCTGCCTGGATCCCCTCTGGAATGGAGCCTGTTGTAATGTTCTGCACAACATTAAACACAAAGTGTCACTTACTCTGCAATCTTGACTTCTATTCCAGAAATACGTCTTGTGAATACTGAAAACATTCTCAGTTTTACTCAAACATTTTAAAACTATCGGGGAACCTTCTGAGCATAGGCAAATGAGTATTGCAGGGGTTTCTCAGCCTTTTTTTTTTTTAAGTGGTTGTCTTTAAATGAGAGTTAAATGTACAAAGCAAGCAGAAGCAGAGCAGGTCTGCTTGACCTTGTGTGGCCCTTCCTCCCTCTCGGTGGAGCTCGGGCTGTGGGCAGCACTGCCCGAGACGTTTCGAGCTCTTGGTGTCGTGTTTGCACCCTGAGCAGACGACTTCCTAACGGAGTTCTGCTTTGAGTGCTGGTCTGGTACTTGCTCTTCCAAGACAGCCTTCTCTCCCTGGAAAAACATGTTGCTTTTAAGACTTAACACAAAATTAAAGGTTTATTTTTCTATAAGAAAAAGGCCAAACACAAATTGATAATCCTACAAAGAACTACAGAAACATGCTGTGGTGACAAAGTAAAGTCTAAGTCCTAACACAGGAACGAACACAACTGCATCTGCAGGAAATACTGGGAGTATTGCCAGTGTTGTCTTGCTTTGTAAAAAGTTTTGCATATAAGGAAATGCTTGGAAAGTTATGTGCTGCAGGAGTATTTTCAGTTGTATATACAAAGGAATTCTATTTTTTGCTGCACATTGAGTCTTTTCCATCACAGTGAAGAGGATTCAGTCAGCATGATGGGGCGGCCGCGCCACCTGCGGGGAGGTCAGGCAGCTGGCTCTTCCGGTGGGTTCAGAGCCTGAGCTGCAGCACAGCCTTTGCAGAGCAGGTGCCCGCTGCGGGCCGCAGGGCTTCGTTTGGGCTGGGCTGGAAGGGCTGCTGTGCAGCAGGGTGGGCTGGGCGCTCAGACCCACTGGTGCCCTGCACTGTGGATACAACGCACTGGGGAAGTTTCGTGAAACGCAGTGGTGACTGGAAGCACCAGATACTGCGGGACCGTGTGTGCGCGTGCGTGGGGCGCAGGCGGTCTGAGCGCCTCTGAGGCCGGTGCTGCTCTGCAGCCTCACCTCTGGCCTGGCAGACAGCACGAATCCTCAGCACGTCGGCGCTGTGCCCTAACACTAAATGTGCACACGTCTCTATCAGAAGTTCTTAAAGCAGTCCTCCCAGTTTCCCTCCTGATGTAGATGTACTTAAGTCAGCAGCCTGTAGCGTCTGGCCTTCGTGTCACGAGACTGAGACGCAGTCTGTGTGTTGCTGGTGTCTGATGAGTGAAGAGGTTCAGCAGGAGCCGTTGGCTGTGCGGCTTCCTCACACGGGATGGCAGCGAGCTGGGTGCCGGCCAAGCGGGTGCGGAAGGGGCCGTTCTGCGCTGGACGCCAGCCTCCCATCTCTGTTGCCCTGTAATGCTCCCTTGTTACTCCTATTAACAGGACTGTGCTCCCTGCCCCGTCTCATAGATGCAGAGTCCTGGCTGGTAACCCAGCAGGGTGCTGTTCACCTCCTGCTTCAGTCTGGTTTCCTGTGTAAGACTTGAAGCCTGTCCTCTCCACCTCTGGTTGGTTCTTTCCAGTTCTTAGAGCTGGACCTTGCTCTCGCTCCTCGTCCTCTGCCCCGCTCCTGGGCCTGCCTGCCCCCTGCCCTGGGCATAGTTGCCCAGCTACGTGCTGTGCTGTGCTGTGGGCCCCACTTGGGGTCCGCGGCTCCTGACTGGGCGGCGTGGTGCCCAGGAACAACTGGTGTGCCACACGTGGGCTCACTGGCAGCTGGTGGCGCTTCTGCTGCACATGAGCTGGGCACAAGGTTCACAGAGCGCTGGAAGTGTCAGTTGTGCTCTGCAGACCCAGCCAGGGACGGCGAGGGCAGGTGTGTGGAGTAGGTTGGGAGGATGAGCTGAAAGTAATGCAAGGTCTCTCCCAGCTAAAGGATTAAGGACACATCTGCTGTAGAAGGTTTGGTTTTGGGGTGGTGTCCCTAAGGAGCGCCTCCTGACTCGACCACTTCCCTGGCATTTGTCTTCCTCTTGGCCTACCCATTGGGACCTGTGTATGCAAAGTGTCCATGTCGCATCTCGAAACGCCTGGAGCCTCTGTGTCCTTTATGCGGCGCTTGGCACATGGACCCGTCCAGCTTGCTGTCTCCTGGGCTTCCGATTTGCCTCCAGCCCAACTGGGGTGCTGCTGCCTGCCACTGTCCTCATTACCTCAAAGCCTTTGACTCGTGGCACTTAGGGATCTAGGACAGCTAGGACACTCATCAGGCTAGTTAGTGACCAGCCAGCCTGCCTTCTGGGCCCAGGGCTCAGGGCTCCTGGGCAGATGGCTGTCCTGTAGGATGGTGAGGTTACCACTTGAACCTGCAAGTCTGGTGTAGCTTAGCCTGTGAGGAGCCTGCAGCCTTGCATGAATTCTAAATGCAGAACACGAGCCAAGCTTGAGAGACTGGTCAGCTCACGGTGCAGACGGGCAGGGGTGGCGTTGGGGGTGGGGGCCCAGAAGGACGCCTGTGCCCGTTGGGAAGCTGCTGTGTGCATTGCAGGGTGTACTGTGCACGGCTCGAGGGTCGGAGGCTACCTTCTGTCCGCGGGCCTGGCCTTGGCCACACAGCCCTGCAGGAGGCGTGGACTGGGCACGTCGACCTCGCTGGCCTCATGCCTGTGCCAACATCACTCCCGGCTCCCAGTGTGGCAGCCCCGGGCCGGGTGCGTGCTCCGGGGTATCTCCAGGCCGCCTGCTCTGCTCGCCTTTCTGTGCTGTCGTCCGGAAGAGGTCTTGCTGGGGTTAAGACTGCCGCTGTGTTTTCAGCCTCTTTGCTCTCTCCCCTCACTTTACTCCTCTTGTTGGTTTGATGCTGTTTCTAGCCAGGCGACCTCACCTTGATACACTAGGAACACAGCCCTTTCTTCATCATCATGCCGTTCGCCTCGTACTAATTTCAGGGCATCCCGGGGGACCAGCACCAACCAGTGCAGTCAGCGTGTGGGGCGTGCTGCACAGCCACGGCCAGTCCAGACACGGGTGTGCTCCGCTCCGCAGGATCTGCTGTGTTGTCATGCATGTGCAGCTCTGTCACCCCGAAGTTTGGGGAGTTGGGGACTCACTGTCATCAGCAGGGCCTGAGCAGGGGGAGGGTACCCTGGGGAGGAGGGACACACACACCCGTGTCCCCAGAAGGCTGATCGTTTGAGCAAGTCTGGTGCAGTTCATCTTGCTGTAGGGAGGAAGCGCGGGAGGGGACTCCACTGGCTGGGGGCGGTCAGTGCTCTCCAAGGTCGCTGAATGGGTTCAATGGGGCTTTGTCATCCCAGCGCACCGAGTTGGCGTGGGGGAAAATGTAGCCTTTCTTTGGGTCAGAGTTGGAAAACAAAGCAAAAAACAACAAATACAACCTTTCAGAAGCTGTATACAGTGACTTCCCTTTCTTTGCCCTTTCCTGTGTCCAAATGTCACAGCCGCTAAAGGTTACACTGTTGGAGGAGCAGGGCTCGTCTCTGGGAGGAGAGGTCCCCTTGGCGGTCTGTGGCCTCCCTGAGACAGTGCACGTTTAGCCCCTGTTGTGCGCACGTGCAGACCTGTGCAGGTGCCCTGGATGTGCCGGGCAAACTCGAGTCCTGCCAGATCTGGAGCCTGCTGCGAGGCCCCAGGGCCCCGCCTGGTTTGGGGTTTTGAAGGAGCCTTTCCACCCCGGTTACTCCTGGAATCTTGCCTATGCTGCTTACCATTCACAGGTTTTCATCTGTCTTCTGCTATAATAGGCTCTGCATTAATGTAAAGACTGTTTTGAGTTTTGCTGAGAACTTCTAAAGAACCTGGGAGCATGAGGCTGATTTTGAGGTTCCCTAACGTGCTTATGAATACAGGGTTTCCCGTGTGGGTATGCCTGAATTAACTCTGATAATGTGTATTAAGCATAGTGTGTGGAAGAGTTCTTAGTTCAGGGCCGGGGATGTAGCTCAGTGGCGTAAGCGCTTGCCTGGCAAGCGTGAGGTCATGAGTCCGATTCTGGGTACCCAAAAAAAAAAAGAGTTCTTAGTTCAGTTTCCAGATGGTCCTCTGGCTGCATGAAATCAGTCTGCCTTCATAGTCTTGATTCCAAAACAATAAAAATAAAAGTAAAGGAGCCTCTGCTGCAGCAGTTGGGGTGGTGGGGAGACGTGTGTGCCTTGGGCTTTCTAGGGACAAGCGACGGATTGGAGGAAAGTGGGAACGTTTGGGCTGCGTGCCCCATTTCCGGAGCCATCAGTTCTGCTCCGCAAAGGTACAGGTCCCTCGTGACTGCCTAGGACGCAGGGCTGCTCCTTGCTAGCCTGGGCCACTGTGGTGCGGAGGCTGGGCAAAGGAGGGCGGTGCCATTGACACCCAGCTGCCTTGGCAGGGCTCCGGTGGTCACCAGCAGCTGGGCTGTCTATCTTCCTTACACCGGAGCTGTAACAAGCTGTAACACCAGTCAGGAACAAGAGGAGCCAGAGGGCTTCTAACGTAGGCAGGCCCGGGGAGGAAGAGCACGAGGAAGAGCTGAGGGCTGGGTCTCTCTCGGCCATGCTGTGCTAGCACTCGGGCCGAGCCGTCTAGCTAGCAGCCTGGTGGAAGCCAGCTTGGAGGCAGGGTCTCCAAGGTCTGGCTTGAGGTGACTGCAGGAAGGTCTTGGGCCTGGGCTCACCACTCCAGCCTGGACTTGGAGGATGGAAAAGGTGGCAGCCAGTTATATGCCCTGGGCCCTGGCCGGGTCTCAGGTGATCATAAGCAAACTATGCCACTGGGCACAACTAGAAGCTGCCCCTGACCACGGACACCCAGAGAGGCCCTCCTCCTGCCATCCCTGGAGCAGCGAGGGGCGACGGAGCTGGTGTTGCCAAGCTGGCTGTAGGAAGAACACGGCGGTTACAAGTTGGGACCAGCGGCTGCGTCTGGCACCTGCAGTGTTTCTAGCACCAGGTGTTGGGGGCTTGGGACGCCCCTGGTCACGGGGTGCATTCTGGGATAGGCTGGGAGCACTGGGAAAGGAGTCAGGATGACCCGGGCCTGCAGTGACCTGCTCACGCAGGCAGTGGGGGTGGGTGATGTCTGGCCGATGCCTTCCGGGAGCCCGTGACTCAGGTCCTACATGGCATCCGGCACGGGAGCAGCATTGCCTGGCCCTGCCGGACCTGGGGCCTCTGGAAACCGAGTCGGACCCGCCTTCCGGCCTGCACATGGCTCTGTCTGGAAGAGGAAGCAGAGCCGCAGGGGATCAGAGGGCCCCACACGGCAGCTGCCTGGGTCTGATGAGGACCTGCTGTCTGCTCCTGCCATCTGGTTAGGGGGCGCTCTGGGGTGGGTGGCATCACAACAGTGTCCCCACCTGTGGTTCTCAGAGGCCCGCTGTGTGCCATGGGGTCCGCCTTCTTCCTGCTGACCTCAAACCCCCAGGGGCCTTGGCCTGCCTGGCTGCAAGGGGCTCCCAGCTGCCTGGCCGGGGCGGCCGCCTGCCCGCCGGCCTCTCCCTGCGGTGGGAGGCGCTATTGAGAGGGATCCCTCCGTGTTGCTGAGGCTGGCCGGAGGGTGCACTTGCTGGAGGTGGAGTGTGGCCACACAGGAGGGGCCTCGTCACAGGGGCGGGGCAGGTGAGGGCGGTGAGTGGTGGTATGGCTCTCAGGTGGAGGATGTCACTGCCCTGGCTCAGATGGTGCCAGGGTGTCCTGGCCAAGACAGTGGGGACACAGTAGAGGCCGGATCCCGGGTCAAAGGCATTTGGAAAGTACGAGGCTCAGGAGGAGGCTGAGGCAGGAGGGTCACGTGTGATGGTGGCCTCCTGTGCTCCGGCCGGGATAGGGCTAGTCGGAGAACAGGCTGGCAAAAGACTTCCTCAGGTTGCGGATGGTCTCGGCCTTGGCCTCGTCTTCATTCGGAGCCCCGTGCTGGGGGGTGTCTGATGTGCTGAGGCTGTTGGTCAGGGACTGGGATTTGCTGAAACAGAAAGGCAGGGGTTCGGTGCTGAGGCCGAGACTCCCTGGCAGTGGGTATGGGGCAGCGAGGCCAGGAGGCGCATGGCAGCGCGCAGCCTGCGTCAGGTGGGCGTGTCACGTGCACTGCAGTCTACAAGGAGCCGCTATCTGCATTTGGGGGCCCATAGTCGAGGCTCCCAGGGGAGAAACTGCCTGGCCGCCCCATCATGCAGGGGCGCAGCTCCTGCCCTCCCTGTCCGAGTGGGCGCACCTGCGGGGCCAGCTGCGATGCGCGTGCGTGGGCTCCTGGCTGCAGCCCCTGTCCTGCCCCCGCCCCGAGGCCGCAGCGCCTCCTCGTCTGGAGGCCGCGGGTCTCCTGGCTCTGCTGTGCGGGGCCTCCTCTCACCCCTTCCCGCAGCCCCCCGGGAGCAGCTGCAGTGCCACGTCGCCTCCAGCTGCCCTTCTGAGTGCTGAGCAGTGCCAGCCAGCAGCGCCTGCCCTTGAGTGCTTCCTGGGTGCCAGGCCCAGTGCCGAGGTAGGTGTGGCAGGCCCTGCAAAAAGCCTCACATTCCGGGCAGTGATGAAGGAGATGACCAAAATGTGGCACAAGCTTGCTTTTTAGTTTTTTGCAACAGGGTCTCCCTGTGTAGCCCAGGCTAGCCTTGAACTCACTTCAATCCTCCTGCCTCAGCCTCCTGAGTGCTGGGATCACAGGTGTGCACCACCATGACCAGCTTAGCACAAGTTTAAGAGAGCTGGCTCCCATGAGAAAGCTGAAACCCTCTTCCACGCAGGGCTGCCTTTTACTCAGCTCATTCCCCTTCTGGCCTCACAGATGGGCACAGATGGATGGGTCTCTGGTCTTTGTTATCTGCTGACTTGGGCTGAATAAACGGGTCCTCGGGGGCTGCAGATGTGGCCCATGGCAGAATGCTTGCCTACCACATGCAAGGCCCCTGGTGCCACCATAGCAAAGCAGAACAAAACAAAACAAGTTTGGCGGTGCGCATCTGAAGTCCCAGCACTCTGGGAAGCTGAGGCAGGAAGAGCAAAAGTTCAAGCCCATCCCGGGCAATTTAGCAAACTTATTGATGCCCTGTCTTAAAGCAACTAAACGGGCTGGGTGTGTAGCTCAGCATCAAGGCTTTGAGCTCCATCTCCAGTACTGAAACTAAAAAGTACTCCAGAGCAGTAAGCAAGAGGCTTCTGCTTCCAGCTGGGTTACCCTAAAGTCAGTGCCCAAGCACTGAACTACACCCCGAGCACTACCCCACTTGAAATTTTGAGACAGGATCTCATTAAGTTACCAAGTTCTCCAGGGAGAGCTTGAACTTGGGATCCTCCTGCCTCAGCCTTCAAGAGTGCTGGGATTATAGGTGGCAGCAGCACACTGGCCTAGAAGGGGCGTGTTTGTTTTTGTGTAGGGAAAGTCTGACAGGACACGTGGGGATGATGCAAGTGGTCACTTCCAGAGACCTTGCAGCGTGGCTGCTGCCCTTCTGGAGATGAATTCCACCATGTGGGCAAACTGGGCCCGGGTTTGGCAGGGTGAGGTCCCATGGCCAGCACCAACAACAATAGGTGTGCATGGGGCCCTCCGGGGAAGCCGTCACATGAGTGGACCTAGGACTGCAGGGTTGCCAGGGTTGGCAAATAAAAAAATAGGGCACCCAGTTAAATTTTAGATGGAAAACAATTACATCATTTTAAAAGTATCCTTCCTGGGATGCTATACCCAGCACTTGGGAGGCTGAGGCAGGAAGATTTTGCGTTCAAGCCTCTATATTGTAAATTCAAGGCCAGCCTGGACTACACGGTAAATCTCTGTCTCAAAAAAAAAAAGTGTAATTATATCCCATGCGATTTTGGGGGCCTACTTATACTCAGAATTAATCATTTATCTGAAATTCCATCTCCCTGGACATCTCTTGTTTCATCCAGCAATTCTCCAGGAGACACTAGCAGAAGTACCGTCCAGCTGAACTCAATTCAGAACAAACTGAAACCCAGAAAATGGTTTGTTTTCTCATTTTTTGTTGTTGTTTTGTTTTGTTTTGTTTTTTTGGCCTTTTTGTGAAAGGATTTCACTGTGTAGCTCAGGCTGGTTTTGCGCTCACTTTGTAGCCCAGGTGGGCCTGGAACTCACAGTGATCCTCCTGCCTCAGCCTCCCGAGTGCTGGGATTACAAGCGTGCGCCACCACGCCAGGCTTTGGTTTGTTTTCTTAATCCGCTAAGTTTTGGGGGCTGCGTGGGAAGTGGTAAGGGGTGTGCGTGCCCGCAGAAGGGTAAGGGTGTGGGGCCAAGTCTTGACTCCCTGCCCTGCGTCCTGCCAAGCTGATGCCACGGGTAAGGGTGTGGGGCCCAGTCTTGACTCCCTGCCCTGCGTCCTGCCAAGCCCTGAAATCTGGGCCAGGGCTCTCTTGTCCCCCTGTGTCAGCCCAGCCTGCCTCACCCTGGCTCCCCACCACCCCGGTCCCCAAAGCACTTACTTGAGGTGAGGGTGGGGCGGCGCTGTCTTCTTGGGCTCCTCTCCCTGCTGGGAGGCGCTGCGGCTCTGTGCAGGCGGCCTGGGCTGGGGCGGGAGGGTGGAGCCTGGCTTGGAGGCCTGGCCCGGGGAGGTGCCCCCTGAGGCCCGCGCCAGCTGCGGAGAGCCCGGGGACCTCTGTGGCTGGGGGGACCCGGGCTGGGGGCTCAGGGGCTGCTGGCCCTGCGGGGAGAGCCGCTGCTGGGAGGGGCTTCCGGATCTGGGGGGCTGAGGAGACTGAGCCTGGCGAGGGCCTCCTGCGGGTGAGAGAAGGAGAGCGAGCTCAGGTGGGTGCGGAGGCTGGATGCGGGGTGCACCGCCGTGCTGCCACAGACGCGTGGCTTGTCCGTACCGGTGAGAGCCGGACACGGGGTGCCAAGTGGAGCAGGGAGTCGCGTCGCGTCGTGGGAGACACTGCTCTCTCGGAGGAGGTGGCGGGGCGCTACTGACGCGGGCGTTGTTGGTCAGAATACTGAGTGCACCCCACTAAGGAGCAGCGCCTCAGGCAGCCCAAATGTGCAGGGCTACGTGAAGGAGGGCGCCTGGGAGGCGGCGCGGGAACCGGGGCCCCCTCCGGCACGTGTGCCAGCTCAGGGCCCTGCCCCCGAGGTCCTGTGACAGCCGAGGGCGCTGCGAGGCCTGGGCGGAGCTGTGTCCCCAGCTCAGGGCGCCCTGACCTTCGTGTGGCCAGACTTGGAGACGGGGCCTGTAAGGGACCCAGCGAGGCGAGGGGGTTCTGAGGGCAGCCCTGATCCACAGGGCTGGGTCCTTGCGGGAAGGGGTCATCGAGGACACGTGTGTCCCTGCTCACGGAGGCAGTGGGCAGCAGCGGGCCCCAGCAGCTCGGAAACCGGCTGTTCACACCTGACCTCACACCTGCAGGCCGGAGCCCGGGGTCAAGCGCCTTGGCTTCCAGCCTGGTTGGCCCTGCTGATTTCGGAGGCAGAGGGCCGCAGGCAGGGCCACGGCTCTGAGTTTCCGGGGGTGGGGGGCTGCCGGCCTCCGTCTCGGGTGACAGGGACGGGTTCGAGTTCTCCCGTCACTGCATGGAGCACCCAGAGGGGACCATGAAAGGAACCTCCCCCTGCCTCTTAGGGGTGCTTTCCACACTGCTGGAACCTCAGGAGTGGTGCGTCTCTTGCTCTAGGGAGGCCGTGGGAGACGCATTCTGCTCGGCACCCAGAGATGGCGGAGGGCCGGGAAGGCTCCTGCTGGGTGTGGACACAGAGGTCACGGAGGCGCCGGGCTGGGCGGGCCTCCCATGGGAGGCGGAGGGTGCAGGCACCCTGGGGTCGGTTGACCCTAGAACCGCTTCTGCCCTCTCCCCGCCTCCCCTGCCCTTCCTCTTCCTCCTCTTCCTGCTCCCCACACAGGGCTGCCTGGCTCCTTGCAGGTGGCCGCCCTGAGCAGGTGCGAGGCCTGGCTGCACCCCGCGGCGGCAGCGGCGGCATCACAGAGCACCTGCACTGCAGAACACCCGCCAAGGGCGTCCACACTGGCCCGGAGCCGCCCACTCCAGCCTGTCCTTGGGGGGCTGTGGTGACGGCGAGGTGGGTCGCCTCCCTTCCCGCACAGCACTTTCTAGATGGGCTTGGGGTTGCTGCGTGGGTTGGGATGGGCCCAGGGTGGCTCAGGGGCAAACTCAAACACCCACGCAGCCAGCAGGGGTGCAGAGAGTTCACGGGTATGGGAAAAACACGCCTTCAAAGCCCTCCCACTTGACACGAGGACATAGCCCGAGGACTGTTCTCTAAAGGGGACAAACATGGAGAAAACGGCACGACCCTGTTGCCCAGGCAGCCTCAACAGGGAGCAGGAGGGATGGGGGAGGGAGGCCCAGCCAGCAGTGGAGCCCTGGTTCCTCCTGCACACGCCAGGCAATTCTAGAGCTGCTGGGCCATCAAGAGAGGCTGGGGATTGGCCAGGGTGGCAAGGAGTTTAAGATAAAACCTTTTGAGAGCCGGGCGTGGTGGCACACGCCTGTAATCCCAGCACTCGGGAGGCTGAGGGAGGCTGAGGAAGGACGATCGATGAGAGTTGGGCTACAGAGTGAGCTCAAGGCCAGCCTGAACTGCATAGTGAGACCCTATCTCAAAAAAGACAAAATAAAATAAAATAAAACCTTTTGAGCCTGGCCTCATGACCCACACCTGGAATCCCAGCACTTAGGAGGCTGAGGCAGGAGAATCACCCTAGCCTGAACTATAGTCAGATTCTGTCAAAGACAAAACAAACAAATCTAGATGTGAGGAAAAAGTTCCTAGTTTTTAAATGTTGGCTACATTTTTGTTTTTAAAATCCATTGCAGGGTCCAGGGATATACCTCAGTGGTACAGTCCCTGCCTGGCAAGTGCAATGTCCTGAGTTTGATTCCTGGCACCACAAACAAACAAACAAACAAAAACACCCAAACAAACAAACAAAAAATTATAAATCCATTGCAAGTCAAAGAAAACATCTGCTTTCTACTTTTAAGTCCTTCCCCCCTACCCTGGGCAGATGAGATCTTAGAAAACCTATTCCTTCCACACTTCTTTCACTATTTCCAGAGCTCTCTCATCGCCAGGGCCTGAGAGAGCTCTAGTTAGTTCTCTCACTTCTTGGCAAACCAAACCCCTCATATTTCATATTTGAGCACCCACAAAAAATATGAGCTGAAGGGTAGAAAGTGTTTGCCTATGCACAGGGTCAATGCTAAGAAATGGTGAAGTTTATTAAAGGAAATTTCCCTTTGAGTTTGAAAGAGACCAGGGCGTCTGAAATGTTATAACGAACTCCTTAGTGGGGAAATTGGTGAAAATATTTTAAAATTAGCCTTGTTATTTTTAATCTATATGTTAATTCACAGAACATTTTCTTTAATTACCTGGATTGGCTTTAAGTTGATTATTTTTTCAACTCATTATTTTTTCAACGTCTGGCTGCGGGTCCTTAAAATAACATCTCTTTGTGGAATGTGTTTTGGCTCCAGGCCAGAGAGCAAGTCGGGACAGGTGGCCTCCTGGGCTCCAAGGGGGTCTGCTCAGGGTTTCTAAGCAGGGTCCCGAGTGGAGGGCCCAGGCCTGTGGCGGAGAAGCCACTCCTGCATCGCCCCACGGACTCCTCCTGGCACTGAACATGGCGGATGTTCCTTCCTCCTTTATCTGTGGGGAAACTGAGGCTCAGAAGCAGCTGTCGCTTGCCCGACTGCAAGGCAGTGAGACACAGAACTGGAATCATTCACACAGCTTGTTAGGGTTGGCACCTGAGTCTCCCCACAAGGCCACGTGTGAGGGCTTGCTCCACAGCTGACGGCACTGTAGGAGGAGGGAGGTAGGATAGTCACTTAGGGGAGGCTAATGGGGCTTCCAGGGCCCTGGTCCCTGCCACATCCTCTGCTTCCTGCTCACCACGAGGTGCCTGCTTCTGCCACCATGGTGCCCACGGCCTGAGGCACCTGGGCCACGAGCACGGACCGAACCCCTGAAACCGTGAGCCCCCCCACCCTCTCCTCTCGGCTGACTTCCTCAGGCGCCTGTCCCAGCAGGGTGAGGCGGGCCACGCAGCCGTGGAGAAGTGTGCATTTCCCTTTTTCTGCAATACTTCTTGCCCTTCCCGGAAGCGAGACGAACAGGAAGGCACTTGGTGTGGGTTCGCCACGCGTCAGTGTTCACCACACGTGGCTGTGTTATTATTATACAGCGATCCGAGCTCTTAAGCCCTGGGGATCCGTCGGTGTGTGGAGAATGGGAGAAAACTCTGAGGACGGGGGAACAGCCGTGAGTAAGGCTGAGAACTGCCTGGCTGCAGCCCGGGGGCGGCGGTGAGGAAGTGGCTGTCACAGGAGACGTGGCCTCAGACCCCAGAGCTGGAGGGCATCGAGCCCGGGTTTTGGTGCGTGTGGTGAGGTTCCTTCGGCTGTCGGGTATAACTCTGAGAGCTGTGCATGTACTTTGGGGTGCGCTGGGAGGTGGTCAACCTCAAGTTCGCTTGCATGAAAATGTGAGCTGACACAGAGGACTAGACTGGCTAGGAGACAGCAGTGGAGGAAAGCGGGGAGGCGGAGGGGACATTGCTCAGGCCTGGGCACGAGGGGGCCACCTGGGGCCCAAGGCCACTGGTCCCCGAGATGCAGCTCCCAGGCCCTGCTGTAATGGACCGGCTAGGAGGGCCTGAGCGGGACCGCAGCACTTTCCCCCTTGGGAGTCTGAGGCAAGCCCTTAACTAGCACGAGGACCTGGAGTGTCCGTCTCGTTCTTTCCTTTCCTCCTCACACCCCAGCTGTCTGGCGCACAGATCTAAAGTCAGGCCACGCAGTGCGGGGCAGCAGAGCTCTCTGGAAGGTCAGAGCGGCAGACACAGCGCCTGCTGTTTTCTGGAGGTGCCTTCTGGGGGCCAAGGCTTTGACTTCTGCCTCAGGCGGGGGGACACTGAAGTTTCCGCCATAGAGAGGCAGGCAGGGCAGAAACAGGTAGAGCAGGCTAGTGAGTGCCTATAATCCCAGCACTCGGGGAGGCTGAGGCAGGAGGATCATAAGTTTGAGCACAGTCTGGGCAATTTAGACCCTGTCTCAGAATTTAAAAATACAAATAAAAAGTGCTCCGGATGTAGCTCAGTGCAAAGGTCTTGGGTTCAATCCCCAGTACTACACACAAAAAAGTTCTTAATATGCGCCTCACATTGTGCTAGGGACCGCCCCCTTCAGTTCCCCGCCCCCAGGCACCAGGGTGTTCACACTGAAACATATCCCCAGCCCTTTTTGTATTTTTAATTTTGAAACAGGGTCATACTAAGTCCCTAAGTTGGCTAGGCTGAGATCAAACTTGGGATCCTCCTGCCTCAGCCTTCCACAGTATAGGGTGCCAGGCTGCAGCACCATGCCCAACTCACATTAAATACCCTAAACAGCATGCTGTTATGGTTTGCATCTGGATGTCCCCCCAAAGCCTCATGCAGTCATGGGATGGGCTTCTAGGATTTGTGATTGATCCATGATCCAATGCTGGGATTATGGGTGTGACTGCCACACCTGCCCCGGGGAGGGCAGTTTGCATACAGTGTAAGGGAAAGAAAGAGGCTGCTTGCTGCCATTCCTCCCTTTTGCTCTGGCTGTTTTTGCTGTTTTCTGCCACCATGAACTGTTGCCCCCTGCCGTGTGCCACTCTGCCTTGGAACCAGCTGAGTATGGACTGAAACCTCCATAGACTGTGAGCTAAATAAACCTTCCTTCATTTTGGGCGCCAGGTATTTGGCCTCAGCAATGACAGAAAAGTGACCGCGACACAAGCTTTCTTCCCTCCCTGCTGCCCTGGCCTCAGGGCAGCCTGCCCAGCCTTCCTCCTGCTGTCCATGGGCGGAGTGCGCAGCATTCAGGGAGGGAGGCTGAGATGAAGTCCCTGGAAGTCGCCCGCGGCCCTCTGGGTCTTACCTTGTGGAGACGGGCGTGGCTGGGGCTGTCCCAGCTGAGGCCCCAGCTGGCCCTGGCCTGGGGACTTTGCTGGCTTAGTCTGCGGAGCCTGGAGCAGAAGAAAAAGGAAGCCTGTCGCGCTGGCCGCAGCCATTTGCTTCCCAGGCAGAGCGAGTTTTAAGGGGGTTTTGTGCAGAGGTAAAGCCCACTGTGGCAGTGTGCTCTTGGTTTTTTTGAGACATTTGTGGCCTTGAACTCCCTATGTAGCCCAAGCTGGCCTGAAACTTGCAGTGATCCTCCTGCCTCAGCCTCCCAGATGCTGGGATTCCAGGCACGCACCATCATGCCTGGCTATTGGTGCATAGTTCTTAGGAGGACACGGGTGCTGTAACTGCCACACAGGCTGTTCTGGCGGGGCAGGCTGCCCTGGGCCCCTAGCAAGGCCTTGAATTTAACCCTGACTCTACAACTATTGTCATAGCTTAGGCCCCGTGGGCCTGCCGGGGACACTGTGGGGTGAGGGACTTTGTGGGAGCTGCTGTGCTTGTGGTGGGGACTGTAGACACAATGGCCCCTATTGACAGGCGGCAGAGGGTGAGTGAGCTCCACCCCGCCCCTCCCCTGCCTTCCCTCCCCCTCTGTTCCCCCTCTCTCATGCGGCCCGCCCCGGCCCAGGTTGGGGACCAGAAATGACCCAGGTCGGTCACTGAAGGCCAGGTGGGAGGAGCCCTTCCTCCCACAACACCACACAGCGCAGGCGCGGCTGTCCCCCACCCCCCTGCACCCAGCCCTTTGCCCAGAACCTCACCCAGGGCCTCAGGGTCGAGGGCACCGTGGCCCCTGGCACCAGGAGCTGGCTCATCTTGGATACCACGAGGTCGGCCATCAGCTGCCGGTCGTCCTCCACGTGCTCCCCAATCAGGGGCATTGAGCTGTCCATGACCTGTGGGGACAAAGAGGGCTGGGGGCGGCCACACGGCCTGGGGAGTGGCCCCTGCCTGACAGGATGGCCACTAGGTGGCGCTGTCCCCCGTGAAACCTCCCGTCGGGGACGCCAGGTCCCGGCGGTGAGCCTGAAGCCGCTCCCCGCGGATCGCTGGGCCTCCAGGCCTGGTGACAGCAACGTGACCGGGCGGCCCTTTCCTGTCCTCTTCGGGGAGCTGTCCCCACACTGTCCCACCAGCCCCTTCAAGGCGGGGGCCTCCTGTCCTCTGGCCCAAGCTCAAGGTGGCCAGGGGAGGGGGGCTGTCCCTCTTGGCCTCGGGGACCTGGTCTTCACCGGATGCTGAGTGCCGGTGTGTCGGGGACAGAGAGCTCACGCTGGCCCATTCTGCTGCAGACCGATGGAGAAACGAGGCCGGGGAGGAAGCGCCTGGCCCTGGGCACCCGTCCACCTGCCCTGCCTCCCGCCCCAGCCCCCACGCCCTGCTCTGTCCCCATGTGTCACTGCCCGCCTCCCCAGGCCTAGCCCTCCGACCCAGGTGGGAGCGGAATCGAAGGAGGAAGCCGGATCCAAGGCCGAGAGTACCCGGGGCCTGAGGCTGGACCCCAGCAGGAGGTCGCGTGTGCCACGGGCTTCAGGGCCAGGAGCCTTCCTGAAACCGCCAGGGCACCGCCCTGTGAGAGCACAGCAGGAGCAGCCCACGCCCTGCCCCTCTCGCTGCGGTTCTGACCCACCCGGCTTTGGGTGGCTGCGGTGACAGCTCCTCAAGGGTCCACATGGGGCCCCAGCCCCAGCACAGAGGGGCGCCAGTGCGCTCTGCCACCCGCCCCGGGGGCCGCACGTCACCGCCAGCGGCCCGAGGAGCTGTCCCTGGGATCCACCTCCTGTGTCCCGCTCAGTCTCCCCCAAGGACAGGATGGCGCAGGCCCCACCCCGGCGCTCACTGGGTGGCCCCAGGCTCTGTGGCCCTGCTCTGAGCAGCCCCGGAGTGGCAGCGAAGGCAGGCCTCTCGGAGCTCCCGGTGCTGCAGACAGCCCGCTGCGGCACGCGTGCTGTGGGCTTGCCACCCCCGCCCCGAGGAGTCCCGCGCTGTGCTGCCGGCGATGGGCACCGGGGCGCCTCTGCCTCCCCCAGCACCTGCCCTGAGCCTGGGCGTGGAGGCAGCCACGGCTGTCATGGAGCAGGTTATCCACCCCATCTGGGCACCAAAGGAGGCAGGCTCCATGTCAGCAGCGAAGCAGTGGCAGGGGCTGGGGCCCTGAGGTGAGAACCGGAGGAGGGGCCGGGGGCCAGGTGCAGCCCGCCACTGCCCAGTGTGCCGCTGGGTGAGTCGCCGTCACCCGCTGTGGCCTGTGGGACACGCCGCTCTTCCAGGGCCGAAGCTCAGCATGCCCAGGGCCGAAGCCACACCCCCCGGAGACAGGGACTCCTGCGGCCGCGGTGTCTTCCCGCAGGGCGGAGGCTGTGGCCGGAGTCTGTCCCTGGGAGTGCCGTGCACGCTCGACACCACACGTGCGCAGAGACGTCATGTCCCTGCCGTGAGCTGTGCAGGGCCGGGCCAGGGGCTCTCCTGGGCTCCCTCTCCCCGGCCTCCCCAAACCCTGAGGAAGGAGCACGTCTGGCGTCTCCATGGCCCATAACCGGATGCCACTTTTTCCGGATCACTTTCGAGTTGTGTTGCTGTGTGCTGCCGTCCAAGCTGCTGCTTCTTTTAATGTGGGCTCGTGCATCTCTGCCCCTGGGTCTGGTGGGAGGAGCTGGCCCGGCAGACCTTTCCTTCCTGGGAGTGGAGCGCAGTAGTGTCGCGGAGGCCATGGCTCGTGGGCACAGAGCTGACGCTCTGCAGAGCTGCTTCTGGGGTGCGCGTGGTCGCCTGCCTGGGGGCGGCTCAGGAGTGAGGAGGGGGGTGCTGGGGCCGAGGGGCTTTCCCCGGGCAGCAGCCCCAGCCACGTGTCTCCCATCCGCTTCCCTCACTGGTCCTGTGGCCTGGGCACACCGGGAGGGGGCAGGGAGGCAGGAGGGGATGGGGTGGGGTGGGGGCAGGTGAGGCGCAGGCTACAGGATGCCCCCCCCACACGCCCCATTTCCCTGTGTCTCCACCTCCGTCACTCTCTGCCAGCTGCAGCGCCGCACCCAGCCCATCCCATTCACTGCTGCGTCCCCAGAGCCACCCACACCTAGTCACAGGAGCCCCTGGAGCTCATGTTTGTTGAATGAATGCATGACGGAGTCTCTGCAGAATGACCAGGGAGGTATGTTCATGTCACACAATGGGACACTGGCTAGGGCCAGTGGGACAATTTGGCTGAGTCGGCCAGGTGATTCCCTCCCCCAGGCCCTGAGGATGACACCCCTGCTTGCCCTCATGCCAGGAGCAGGCCCCGCTGGGGCAGAGGGCTGGGCTCCCGCACCTCAATGATGAAGTCTCTGCCGTCCTTGCTGTGCACGGCCTTGACCGCGCAGATGTCCAGGCCACCAAACATTTCTGAGCAGCTGTCCACCCACAGCCGGTACCTGCAGGAAGGACGGACAGACAGTGAGCACCAGGAGCAGGGGCTGTCAGAAGGCGGAGGGCGGGGACAGACACACTCGCGCCTGCGTGCACGCGGCCCTCCCGCTCGCTCGGCGCACTCCTCCCGTCGCCCTTTCTGCCGCAGCTCTGCAGCTCTCTCCTTAGGAGGTGTGGTCAAAAATACAGCCACTGCTGCTGTGAGCACCCTCCAGCAGAAAGGCAGGCTCCTAAAACCCAACACTGCGTCCCCATCCACCTCAGTCACCGGGCCTGGCACCGTGTGACTTCTCCTCCAGGGTCAAGACGACCGTGAAAGGGAAACGCCTTGAATCTATTCAGGACACCGAGGCAGCCAGGACCGCACAGCTAGACCCTCAGGAAAGAGGACTCTGGAGCTGCTGCAGGAGGCAGCAGGAGGACGGGATGAGTGTGCCTGAAGGGAGGGAGGATTTGAGGGGGATCCGCGACACGTGGCTTTTACTGTAGTAAGTTTAAAAAAACCTAAACACTGCAGTTTTGGGGGTGTTATAAAAATTACAGTGAATGTTTTAATCTTTTAAAAATTACTTCTACGTGTGGAGGGAGAGGGGAGAGAGAGAATGGGAGAAGGCATAGGAGCTCCGCGGAGCCCCCGCCCACCCCATCTGCAGCGTCCAGGTCACCCAGCGGCCGCCACCCTTTTCCCTTGGGAAAGCTGCTCCAGGGCTGCAGACGCCTCCGACCCTCCCAGACTGGAGCCTGCCCAGCGCTCCCCCATGAGCCCTGGGGACAAAGGGCGCATTCTCCCGGGCCTGGGGACCCGCCCCGCCCTGCGGCCTGCTGCTTTTGTTCCCTGCCAGCCTGCAGCAAGGCGTGGTTGTCCCCAGCCATCTTCCTGGCCGGCCCTTGGCTCTCTTCTTGCTTCGGCCCGGCCGTGCCCACTCCTAGTTCTATTTGTGACCCTGAGCCCCAGGCCCGCGGGGCGGTGGCCGAGTACTCCCTGCTCCCGGATGCGAGCTGTCCTCCCACCCACCAGGGCCGGCCCAGGTCGGGCAGCAAGGGTGGGAGCAGAGGAAAGGTGCAGATCGCCCCCCCCACCGCAGAGCGTCCCGGGACCAAAGGACTCCAGGCCCCCCATCCCGACATGGCCAGGGAGCTTGGAGCCCATTCCACAGAGGAGAAGCTGAGGCTCGGCGAGGTTAACATGTCACCCCAACCTGGGGGCCCAGCAAGCCCGCTTGCTCTCACACCTGCCTCCGCCGTGCCGGCCTGGCCGGGGACAGCGAAGCAGGCCCAGCTCCGCCCACTGCTTCCGGCCGCCAAGGTGTGAGCAGTGAGTGCCACCGCCAGGCCCCACAGGCCCTCGCATGCCCTGTCGGAGCCCTGCCAGGACAGACTGAGCTGAGCAGCGCTCTCCTCCCCTCCTCTGGGGGCGCTTTGTCCCAGCCACGGGACAGCGACTGAGACAGCTGGTTTTCCCGGGGAACCAGGCTGCACGGCAAGCGGGGCGCCTGGCTGGGGGTGCCAGCTGTTTACAGGTCCCCAGAGGTTTCCGTCCCTGTGGGGTCTGACTGGAGGCTCTTGGCCCCGGAGCTCTGCTTCGGCTGCACAGGGAGGTGGATTCCGTGGCCGGGGTCCTGCAGGGACGGCCACGCGGCACGCTGTGGGTGATCAGCCCTGAGGCCAGGAAGCCGGGGTCATGCTCCGGCAGGGCCACTGTCCCAAGAGCACCTGGGAGAGGGATGTGACTGCCTCAGCCCGCCTGCAGTGTGCCGGTAACAGCACTCGTGAGACAGCATGCGTGGGGCCGGCTTAACGCACAGAGCCCCGCTCTTCCTGCGGGGCCGGGCACGGGCACGCCGAGGGGAGTTACACCTCCATGTGACAGCTGGGGTTCAGAGAGGTTGTTAAGTCCCTGGCCACAGGGCCAGCCACGGACCCTCCTCAGCCGTGTCCTGGGCGCAGAGCCCAGAGCCCAGAGCCCAGAGCCCAGAACTGGGCTCCTACTCCGTCTTTCTTCCCTTTGCTTTTTCTCCCTTTTTATTTTTTACTACTGGAATTGAACCCAGGGTCTTTGCACACAGCTGCATCCCCAGCCCATTTGTGTTTAATTTTTTATTTTGAGAAAGGCTCTCTCTAAATCTCTAAGTGCCCAGGCCTGGCAGGAACTTGACATCCTCCCGCCTCAGCCTCCCAGGTGCTGGGATGACAAGCTCCTCCTCCCTCTTTGGGATGTCATCAGGCACCCTACCTTGGAAACCCCTCCTCGAACCCTGGCCTCACCCCAGGCACACACAGAGGGGCGCTCTGTGGATCTGAGGACCAGCTCAGCCTATCACAGCGCAGCAGCCTGCTCCACCACAGGGATTGGTCAGGGTGGTCATGTGATCCAGCCTGGCTGGTCAGCAGATGAGGCTTAGCTGCAGCTTTGTTACAAAGAGGGCACCTGGATGTTGAGAAGCCAGTGTCCCTGGGTGCAGACTGGGGGTTCTGTTCTGAGTCACTAGGTGGGACTAGGTGCCTCTGGTGCTGTGGCCTTGTCTGCCTGGCCCCAGGCTGCAGGCAGCAGCGCTCGGCCGTTGCTTACTAAATGCAGCTTTCTGACCCAGCCCCTGCCCTGCTCTGCCCGGGCCAGCTGTGAGCAGAGGCCCATCCAGATGGCAGCAGAGCAGTGCTCGGGGACAGGAGCAGGAGGACCCCACGCGTGGAAATAGCCTCTCCCTGCCCCGCCGGCCCCTGAGTCAGGGACAGGGCGCCCTTCCTCTCTGGGCTGTGGGAGGCAGGGGACCCCCCACATGTGGGTCAGCGTCACTGCTCAGCTCCGTGACGGGGACACACCACTTCCACTCCCACCTGCCGGCTGTGGCGCCTGACCCCGGCCCTGGGGGGGTGTGGCATCTGTGCCCCGCGTGGGGGTGGGGTCTGGGTGGGGAGTGCGTC